TTTTTTTTAACCTTACCTTTAATGAATAAAAATTAAAATCCTTCACAAGTTATTTCATGGAATAAATTTTCAATGCCTGTAGTTTCTTCACCTTCTAAGATACCAATTACTTAGCTATTTGGCTGTTTAATGAAATCTAGTATTTCTCATATATTATCCTCATTTTTTTTTTTTTTTGCTATTTATCCTTTTTGTGTGTTTTCTTCCCCCCTAGGTCAGAGATTTTGTCTTCTACATTCCAGAACTGATATTCAGCATAGTCTAAACAGCTTTTGATACTTTAGAGAGAGGTTTTTATTTCCTGTATTATAGTCTTCCTTTCTATAGTTCTATTTAGGTCTTTCTTATGGTGTCCATTTCTTCTTCCAAATCATGGGAAAAGAAGACTTCTTCTTTCCTCATCTCCTGGAGTTCATTTTTCTCTTTTCTGGTCCATCTAATATAATTTTGTCACCATGAATGTTCTGAATTCTTTCTCTGACATTTAGGTAATTTCTTTCTCTTTTTTTTTCAAAAGATAGAAGAGAGTTATTATGTTCTTTTAATGCAGATGTATTTTCTGTTTTTCTTTTCATACTTGAAGTGACTTCTAGCCATATGATGATGTACTAACCTTTGGATAACTCTTTGGAGAATGTTTCTGCAACTGGGAACAAGTTTGCTTCCCTTTTGCTGTGAATTGCTTCTGTGCCAAAGCCTCTTCTGTGCTGGGGTTAACAATGGGGTCCCCACAGGAAGGGTTGAATATTCAGGTTTCTGAAGAGCAGTTTCTTCTTTTTTGCTGGTGGTTCAATGCTGAGCAAGGGTCCCTGAGAATCTCACAATGCTAAGATGTTTTAAAGCTATAATTCTAGACATGCCTAGTCCCTCTGTGGGGTGGATGATGAGAAGAAAATGACAATGTAAGAAGAAAGAAAAAAGAATATGAAAGAGAAAAAAATAAAAAGATTTCAGCAAGATGCTGCAGATAGAGATAGACTCTGCTTGAGAGCTGAGAACTGCCCTGACCTATGGGAGATGGAGAAGTAGAGAATTAGCAAAAGAAAAAGGGGAAAAAAGGTCCTAGCTTTCTGGCTGAGAGGAGGGGGGATTCTGAGGTTGGGACCTGGGGCTGGGCCTGATGTTTAGCCCTGCATCAGATTTCCTGACTGGACAGGGGGCTGAAGATGGAAATGGATTCTGCTTGAGAGGTCAGAGCTACCCTGACCTTTCTGACTGGGATGGGGCTCTGAGGTTGGAACTGGGGCTGGGACTGAGGCTGATAGTCATCCCTGCCTCAGTTTCCCTGACTAAGCATGGAGCTGCAAATGGAGATGGACCTGTTTTTTTTTTTTTTAAAGAAAGATTTTTACTATAGTATGGGTGCACTTTTCAGAAAGACAGAGAGACAGAAAGTGATATATCACTCCCTAAGGTGGATGGCCATGCCACTATCCCTTTTCCTCCATTATTTTCTCAGAATTTTGGGCATACATGCACACATGCTTCGCATGAGTTTCAAGTCACCACGTATGGGACTGATACTGTGCTTGACTACATGGGAATCCCACAATGTAACCATTATGCCATCTGCAGGTCCTGCATGCTTTGTTAACATATATAATCTGAGCGTGTATTCACTGATGGCAAAGATCATTCTCCACCCAGCTGTCAGAGGAGCTTCCCTAATAAATAAACTCATGTTTTTCTCTGTTAGTCCTCTGAGTATGTTCTTTGGAATTGTTAAACATTGCAGGCAAGTCCTATCAGATTTCGGAAAACCCCAGGAAAATACCAAAAAGTCTAAGTAAAGGAAATATGTACCATGTTTATGGACACAAATATTCATATGATAAAGATATCAGTTCTCCCTAGCTCAGGAAACTAATATAACATCCTCATAAGAACTGTACTTAAGAACTGTACTTTTCTAGATACAGATAAGCCAGTTTTGAAGTTGCATAGAAATTATAACACTCTAGACTTGTGTGTTACCAAAAAGTCTAAGTAAAGGAAATATGTACCATGTTTATGGACACAAATATTCATATGATAAAGATATCAGTTCTCCCTAGCTCAGGAAACTAATATAACATCCTCATAAGAACTGTACTTAAGAACTGTACTTTTCTAGATACAGATAAGCCAGTTTTGAAGTTGCATAGAAATTATAACACTCTAGACTTGTGTGTTTTATATTTTTTTACCAAAATTATATTTCTTT